CTTTCTGGTTCCCGTATAGTGACCGCTCACGTGGTGTTTGTATACTTTACCACAGCTGAAGTGAAATAAATGCAATATTTGCCAAATACACAGATGTTTCAGAGACATTTTCATTCAATACTTTATGTACTGCTTCATACAGCGTTTGTTTGAACAAGAATAAAGTTCAACATAAGCCTACAGCTACTATCAATGAAGTGGAATCAACGTTTGTTAATCAGTTTTATTTTGATAAACATAACACAATAAATCGCGACTACATGAAAAGAGTGTTTGTAATTAAAAAAACTGATTTGTGAGCTTTAGTGGAACTAAAGGTGTGAGAATAAACACGAAACGCACGTGATCGTTGTCATGCGGTGAATCCGGCCAATCGTGGAACAGCTGTGACGTCATCAGAGCTCGTGCAGCCCAGAGCAGCCGCTCTTCAGAAGCTGCGCTGGCTGAGTTCTCCGGCTGCTCTCGAATCGCTCTCGCGGTATTTTGATGGCATACGTCACAGTCACGTGGCGTCGGCGCTGTATCAAGTCGGACAACATTTCTAACCGGCATGCACTGCTTCAAGTCAGCCGCCGATCGGTCTGCGCAGAGCTGCATGAAGTCGAACAAGCCTAATGTCAAATTTGGCAGACACCGACCTCAGACATGGCCTCGGAAAGGCACCAAGAGTCGGGGGCGAAAAAAGGAAAAAGAATAGACAGCGGGATGATGCTCGCGCGTCGCTTTGCAGGTAAGACAATGTTTTAAATAAAAATGTTAGTTTTGTAGCGCGGGCGCCCTTGCGTCGTGTATGCATGTCCAGGGGGCGTCGCTAGTGGTGCAAATGAAATGATCCGGGGCTTTTTTAGCCCTGCATGTTGAATCTTTTATTTTAACGGGGGTCCGGGGCTTTCTCCCCCAGAAAATTTTGAAACTTGGGCTGTTTAAGATGCAGTTAGTTTGTTTGAGAAGAAAAGGAAGACCGCTTAGATACGTTTTTTCGTTGTTGTTTTATGCGGATAATGCGTTCATTTTCAAGAGGTTCATAGGCCAAGGCCCAAGGGCGACATCTGGGAAAAGATTAATCGCATACAAAATAAAAGTTTGTGTCTACATGATATGTGTGTATACTGTGTATAATTATTTTGTATATATAAATACACACACATATGCACGTATATATTTAAGAAATATTTGCATGTATATACTGTATATATTTATATATAATTTATATTATATATAAATTTAAATATTTTATATATAAATAACAAATATTTCTTAAATACATACATGCAAATGTGTATTTATATACACTACCGTTCAAAAGTTTGGGGTCAGTGAGAATTTTATTTTTATTTTTTGGAGGAAAGAAATCAATACTTTTATTTATCAAGGAATAGTTAATTTGATTGAAAGTGACAGTAAAGACATTTATAATGTTACAAAACTCTTTTGAACTTCCTATTCATCAAAGAATCCTAAAAACAAACAAAAAAAACTGTACAACTGACAGACCAACAACTGTTTCAACATTGATAATAATAATAAATGTTTCTTGAGCATCAAATCCTCATATTATACTGATTTGTGAAGGATCATTTGACACTGAAGACACTGACACAGGTGATGCTGAAAATTCAGCTTTGATCACAGGAATAAATTACACTTTACTATATATTCACACAGAAAACAGCGGATTTACACTGGAATAATATTTAATACTATAACTGATTTTTGTTGTATTTTTAATCAAATAAGCGCAGCCATGGTTAGCAGAAGAGAATTCTTTTAAAAGTATTTAAAATCGTACCGACCCCAAACTTTTGAACGGTAGTGTATATACAAAATAATTATACACAGTACACACACATATATCATTCATGTAGACACAAACTTTTATTTTGGATGTGATTAATCGCGATTAATCTTTTCCCAGCCCTACAAATTATGTACAGAATTATTATATTGTGCTTCATCAGACTAAGAAATTCTGAATGGTTGTTATTCCTTGGGTGGGTGAGTGGGGTGGGGGGGCACCACCAAGCATTTGTGCTTAGGGCACCCAAATGGCTAGCGCCGGCCCTGTTCTTCATGCCATCTTCACCATTAACCGCTTTTCCACTGGCCAGCGCGAGCACAGAGGCCGAAATCATAGCCTACTTCACGGCACTCCTGTAAAAAATAAATCAGACGCTGCCATTTAGTCTTTATTTACAGACTTGGACACCACACGCGGCTATTGACTGACCACGAACAGGTAATTTAGCCTACTTGCATTTTTCATTCGTTAATGTCTCGCGGTCTTGCTGTTTTTTTTTTTTTTTACAATTAAAACTAAAAGTCTGTTGTAACGCAAGCCTTACTGAACATGTACCGAGTAAAATATTACTGAAAATTGATTAGTAATGCCTTACACTACTGCGTTACAGCAAAAAGTAATATGTTACTGTAATGCATTACTTTTGTAACGCGTTACTCTCAACACTGGCCATAATGCACTTACCCATGATTCCCTCAACACAGGGCAGGACAGCTGTCAGTCATACACGGGGGAACAGTTACTTGTGTGGCTTATTTGAAAAAGTAACTCAGATATTTTGTTTAAAATGTAAAAGTAATGCGTTACTTTACTAGTTACTTGAAAGAAGTAATCTGATTACGTAACTTGCATTACTTGCGTTAACACTGCCGATCACATCCACACCATCTAAATCTGCAGAGTTTGTCATTTTCTAATGCCACTCTTACCCAGAGACTGTAATAAAGACATTAAGAGACAGAGATGATTCTCTGTCAACAGCTTTACTGTCATAATGATCATAATTACAGTACATCATTATTTTATAATATGACTCTGACAGGCTGCTGTTATTCCTGTCAGATATCCTAACATGCTTAAAGGTGCAGTGTGTAAGTTTAGCGCATCTAGTGGTGAGGTTGTGAATCGCACCCAACAGAAGTTACGGTGGCCGACAGGAAGTGATGTCGTCATCTGAGACAGCAGAGTAGACAGTTAAACAATGAGGTTTCTTTACAAAGATAAATTAAGAAATTAGGTTTACTTGATTATTCAGTAAAACGATGTTATTGCTAATATTATTGTGACTTATTCATCATTGTGTCAGTGTTTTACTCACTGACTTTAGCAGCTTCTTATCATGAAGAACAACATAGTGACGAAACGCGTTTGTCCGTTCAGGGCCACCGTAGAAACATGTGGATGTAAGCGGACCCGCGGTGTGTGTAGAGAAATGCTCATTCTAAGCTAATAAACACATAACGCTTCATTAAGTAAGGTCTTTATACACCACTGAAGACATAGTTATGTTTATGATATTGCATTTCTGTCAACAGATCCTCCTAAATATCACACTGCACCTTTAAATCAAGATACATTTACAGGAGAAGCAAAATGACTGAAGATATTAAAGTCCCCCTCTAGTCAATAGTTTTATCCCTTAAAACTCATCTTTGATCACCAAAATGTCTTCTAATATCTTGAATGTAACTCGACACCCTTGCCTCATTTAGTATGCGCGGTTCTATGAATACGCAATGAGCCCCGCCTCCACTCACTCACTCAGCTCAGAGATCCACTGGTTGACGATCACACGTTGATCTGATTGGTTACAAGGTCGTTTGTGACGTCAGAAACACCAGCGATTTCAAACCGTGTTTTTGAGACTGTCTTTGGTTCACTGCAGTTTTAAGCAGAAAATACTCAGCAATGCTGTCGACTTATGAACTTACACATGGTGTGTCTTAAAGCGTATTAAAAACACCACATACACACATAAACAACAATAAAAGCTGGATTTACACTACAAGGGGACTTTAAGACTTGTTTAAAAATGGTGAGGGAGGAAGAAAATAAATGTTTTGCTGTCTTTTAACAGACTTACTCGAGTCACATGGACTAATATTATGAAGCTTCTAGTCCAGTTTTAGAGTTTGATAGTCTTGGTCGCTATGAACGAGCAGATCTTTAAAAACACTGTGTGTGTCTGGAACATCATGAGGCGATTAACTAACGGCATGTGGAACTCTTTCAGCTGCAGAAGTTCTCCTCTCTCCATACGTTCTGTCCATCTCTCTCTCCGCTGACTGTCATTATTTGTCATTACCTCGACCCTCTCTCGTCCCATTACGTTGCCATGGCAAAGGTCCAGCGCTGCCTGTTGCCATGGTGATAAATCACAGTGTACACTGGGTCGAGAAGAGTTTTGCATATGCAGATCACAGGCTGAGTGTGTTCAGGTCAAGCCTGTGCAAATCTGACCCGTGAGCTCCAACTCTCCAAGAACGACTCGTGAAGTTATGGTTCTCCGGGAGCTTCTTGACGAGGTAGCGTGCCCCATATAGCAGGACTAATTCCGAGCATCATGCATTTATAATAGCGAGATATTTATATCTTGTGGGACGCGTCTGATGTGGAAATGAAGTCCAGCACAGGTCTGATTTCAGGGGTTTATTCACATTACACACATGAGTGAACACATCAACATCCACAACACCAGTACACCACCGTAACACCAGTTTAGTAACCAATCTGTAACGCCTCGTTATCTTCAGAAAAAATAAATAATTCATAGCGATACTGTATTAATGATGCACAATTAATTTTTACACTGCTATATATTGCACGCAAACAGACTTTTCCACATGTGTGGAAGTAGTTTTAAAATATTACAATGTTACAATTTTAGGTTACACTTTATTTTAAGGTGTCCGTGTTACAGTGTAATTATATATTTAAGCACTGAGTAATAATAATTAACTACATGTGCTTACTATAGGGTTAGGGTTTGGTTGAGGGTTAGTTGCATGTAATTATGCATAATTTACTGTTATTACTACGGTAAGTACACGTAACGTAACGAGGCCACTGTAAAATAAAGTGTTACCCAAATTAGTAGTTCACGGTAACACTACTTCTTGAATTTCTTATTAAGTTCTCAGCCATGTGAAAAGATTCATTTGTCTGAAACAAGCCTCCACATAATCCTCGGCTTGGTGGCTCCACATATTGTGTTACGAGTGTTACATTTACAGATGCGCCGTCGCTGTCCCATGACGTCACTCACTGGTGAGATCGGTGTGTGTGTGCCTGTCCGTCAAACCCAGGCGTGGAAGTCCCGCCTCCAGCCCAAGCCCCGCCCTTGGTACCGGGCTCCTGTGATTGGCTGAAAATATAAAAGTAGGTGGAGCCTCCTGAGAAGAGCGCAGAACGTCGCCGCAGCAACCACGACAAGCGGTGACATCATGACGAAGCCCAGGATGATGAGGGCGGAGCAACTGTTGTCGTCCAGGTATTGGCAGAGAGGAGCCGAAGACGCCACCACCTGTCGGAGATCAGGAGATCAGGACATCAGGAGATCAGGGGCCGTATTCTCAAGGAATTTTAAGGCTAATAGTAGCTCCTAACTGGCGAATTTAGGAGCAACTCCTAAAAATAATGGGCGTGTTACTCCTAACTTTAGGACTCCTAATTTTTTTCACTAAGAGTAATTCACGAAGCATTTTAGCCCTAAAAGTAGCAGCTAAGTCTGGGACAGCTTAAAAGAAGTCGAGAGGACTCCTAACTCACTAAGACCTATTCACAAAGCATTGTAGCGCATACACACACACACACACACACACACACCAGCGCCTCTCGCAGTCGCCCGGGGTCCGCGACACAAGCGGGAACGCTGCATTGATCTGCAAAGCCTCTCCCATTCTCACGCTAAGTTAAGCTTGATATCCCAGTGCCGAATTTCCCTTTTATTATGTTTTTTTTCCAGCACCAGCTGGGCCAGCAGCAGTAACTGATCCTGCGTCCAGTTGGGCTTTCTTTTTAGATTAGGCAAGTGACGGTTTTCATTGGGGTATTAGGCTACCTTGATTTAATTTATTTTAATTCACGACTTTTCTCTCTCTCTGCCTTTTTAGAATCACACTTCACTGGGGCCTGCACAAACATGTCATTATATATGCATTTCGATGACATTACTATTATTATTTTGTGTAGGACACAGACATATTTAGATGTGGTAATTCCATGATTTGTTGCGTCTGTGTTATGCTCCGCATGATGGCCCTGTCATCTAACACCCAATCACCGTGATCATTGCGAGGAAGCTCGTGCGTGAGAAGTGACGTCATCCATAGCAACGAAGACTCACTCTTAGTTTAGGAGTTGTCATTTTTCTTTACTAAGAGTAGGTCTGAAAGGCGCTGTGAATAACTTTTAAGAGAAAACTCCTAGCTAAAATATTTTAGTGCAATTTAGGAGTACTCCTAGTGGTAAGATAAAATTCTTTGTGAATACGGCCCCTGGACTGCACAGTTCATCCAACTTACAATCGCTATTACGGTTACGGATAACATGATTACGTAATAGTTCAAAAACCTTGCGATTACAAAAAAAAAAGTGAACTTGCATTATTCTGCGTGCTTAACGGGATAGTTCCCCCAAAAATTAAAATTAGCCCATGATTTAGATGCACTTTTATGATGGATAGATGCACTTTTATGATGGATAGATTAACTTTTATGATGGACAGATGCACTTTTATGATGGACAGATGCACTTTTATGATGGACAGATGCACTTTTATGATGGATAGATGCACTTTTATAATGGACAGATGCACTTTAATGATGGATAGATGCACTTTTATGATGGACAGATGCACTTTTATGATGGACAGATGCACTTTTATGATGGACAGATGCACTTTTATGATGGACAGATGCACTTTTATGATGGATAGATGCACTTTTATGATGGACAGATGCACTTTTATGATGGATAGATGCACTTTTATGATGGACAGATGCACTTTTATGATGGACAGATGCACTTTTATGATGGACAGATGCACTTTTATGATGGATAGATGCAATTTTATGATGGACAGATGCACTTTTATGATGGACAGATGCACTTTTATGATGGACAGATGCACTTTTATGATGGATAGATGCAATTTTATGATGGATAGATGCACTTTTATGATGGACAGATGCACTTTTATGATGGATAGATGCACTTTTATGATGGACAGATGCACTTTAATGATGGATAGATGCACCTTTATGATGGACAGATGCACTTTTATGATGGACAGATGCACTTTTATGATGGACAGATGCACTTTAATGATGGACAGATGCACTTTAATGATGGATAGATGCACTTTTATGATGGACAGATGCACTTTTATGATGGACAGATGCACTTTTATGATGGACAGATGCACTTTTATGATGGACAGATGCGCTTTTATGATGGACAGATGCACTTTAATGATGGACAGATGCACTTTTATGATGGACAGATGCACTTTTATGATGGACAGATGCACTTTTATGATGGACAGATGCACTTTTATGATGGACAGATGCACTTTTATGATGGACAGATGCGCTTTTATGATGGATAGATTAACTTTTATGATGGACAGATGCACTTTTATGATGGATAGATGCACTTTTATGATGGACAGATGCACTTTTATGATGGACAGATGCACTTTAATGATGGACAGATGCACTTTTATGATGGATAGATGCACTTTTATGATGGACAGATGCACTTTTATGATGGACAGATGCACTTTAATGATGGATAGATGCACTTTTATGATGGACAGATGCACTTTTATGATGGACAGATGCACTTTTATGATGGACAGATGCACTTTTATGATGGACAGATGCACTTTTATGATGGACAGATGCACTTTAATGATGGACAGATGCACTTTAATGATGGATAGATGCACTTTTATGATGGACAGATGCACTTTTATGATGGACAGATGCACTTTTATGATGGACAGATGCACTTTTATGATGGACAGATGCACTTTTATGATGGACAGATGCACTTTTATGATGGATAGATGCACTTTTATGATGGATAGATGCACTTTTATGATGGACAGATGCACTTTTATGATGGACAGATGCACTTTAATGATGGACAGATGCACTTTTATGATGGACAGATGCACTTTAATGATGGACAGATGCACTTTAATTATGGATAGATGCACTTTTATGATGGACAGATGCACTTTTATGATGGACAGATGCACTTTTATGATGGACAGATGCACTTTTATGATGGACAGATGCACTTTTATGATGGATAGATGCACTTTAATGATGGATAGATGCACTTTTATGATGGACAGATGCACTTTTATGATGGACAGATGCACTTTTATGATGGACAGATGCACTTTTATGATGGACAGATGCACTTTTATGATGGACAGATGCGCTTTTATGATGGATAGATTAACTTTTATGATGGACAGATGCACTTTTATGATGGATAGATGCACTTTTATGATGGACAGATGCACTTTTATGATGGACAGATGCACTTTTATGATGGATAGATGCACTTTTATGATGGATAGATGCACTTTTATGATGGACAGATGCACTTTTATGATGGACAGATGCGCTTTTATGATGGATAGATGCACTTTTATGATGGATAGATTAACTTTTATGATGGACAGATGCACTTTTATGATGGATAGATGCACTTTTATGATGGACAGATGCACTTTTATGATGGACAGATGCACTTTTATGATGGATAGATGCACTTTTATGATGGACAGATGCACTTTTATGATGGATAGATGCACTTTTATGATGGATAGATGCACTTTTATGATGGGCAGATGCACTTTTATGATGGACAGATGCACTTTTATGGACTTCAAAACAGAAACAGCCATTCACTGCCATTATAAAGCTTGGAAGAGCTTTTTTAATATAACTCTGATTGTATTCGCCTGAAAGTAGAGTGTCATATACACCTAGGATGGCTTGAGGGAGAGTAAATCATGGGCTAATTTTCATTTTAGGGTGAACTGTCCCTTTAAGAGGTGTGTTTAGAGCATGTTACGTTGTGAGAGGCGAATCACGACTACTTCAGAGAACCAGTGGCGGTTCTAGCCCATTTCAACTGGGGGGGCCAAGCTGGGGCCAGTTGTACTGTTAGAGGGGCCAGTTACATTTAGACCTTATTGTTGTCCTATCATTTTCTGCACTACTGCAGGCATTAACAGGCAAAATACCGTGTTTATAATCATTCAACAATGTATTTCCATTTCCATTATATTTTTACATTTGCATTACATATTCAGTATTAGTCACAGTAACTGTAATAGACCTGATGTCCTTCTTTCTCTTCATTTTGAGAACTATAGAGCAAAAGCAATGGGGACCAAGAAGCTTAATTCATTTACTGAAAATAACTGACTTTCTAGGTAACTACGTCTAACCGTTTACAGGGTTCCTGCACACTTTTTTTAAAAAAATTAAGGCTTTTTAAGACCTAAAGAAATCAAAATTAATACCGTACATTAGGGGTGTGCAATATTGACAAAAATATATTTCAATATTTTCAACGTTTTGTTGATAATAATTAGATGATATTTTACTGATTGTGTTTTTGTGCTGGTGCCATGGCTGGTTTAGGCCTGTTGTTGACAGCTGACTCACGAAGATATTCATATTTTTCGTATTATATGGTCAGTTCACAGCAGTGACATAAATAATTTTTTTTAATTAAGGGGCAATATTTGCCACTTTAAATTGATTTCCAGGGGCATTTTCACCTATATATGGACATTTTTTCTAAACTTATTTAGAGTTATGCATCACCTTTTATGTCAAATACTAACATTCAAATTATACAATAATTATACTTATTTATACAATAATACTTAATTATGCAATAATTATACAGTACCACTGCTGCCAGTCAAATTAATTAATTCAATCAAAATCCATCTTTGCAGTGCAGAGGTGACACAGAAGTGGCATTAATATATTTACACTCCATTTACAATAGCATAAATAAAGCTATGAGATTTTTTTTAAATCAATATTTAAATATGAAATGATTTCTAATTTTAACGTTTTAATTAAAGGATACTTTAAATATGAAACTAAAACCGCCAGTAGGCGGCGGCAAGTCCCTGTAAGAGGGATTCATACATTCAACCGATTTGTTCAAACGGCTGATTCATTCGGGAAAGAAGCAAGTGATTCGTTCAAAACGCGGATTTCAGACTAGTCAATAAATCATCGCTGTGTTGCATTGAGACTCTGCTACGGTTTCATTATGAAATTCTAGTCGGCGAAATAAAGGGAAAACAAACAATATTGTGTCTAAAAAGTAACTCCCAATGTTAACTTATTGTTAATTTAACTGTTGTATAACATAAATATCACAGTTGCAATTGTGCACGGGAAAACTGCACCCTTGCTGATGTGATATTCTAATATAAGAACATAATATGATATAAATTTAAGACAAAAACTAATTTGGGGACATAGCCTACCTATGAACTGCACACAGCAGTGAAAGGACGATAGACAAATGCGATGTCACCTCACAGTGCCTCGTACATAGTTAAAACAATGATTTACAATATCATAATAGACAATACACATCGCACACCCCATACGCACATAAAGAATGAACTTACAACTGAACTGACATTTACCAACTTTCTCCTTCTCTCCTCTCTCGCGTGCAGGAGACAGACGTTATTCTGCCGCGATTCCCGCGAATGTGATGCGAATTGTCACGTGAAAATACAAATCCACAAAGATAGAATAATAAATAGAAAAAATAATACGCATACAACGATAACAACGATAGCAAAAAACAGTTTTGTAAAAATTATTTCAAACTCCACATTTAGGGGGGCCACAAGGGGGGCCAAGCTTTTTGTCACAGGGGCACTGGCCCCCCTGGCCCCCCCTCTAGAACCGCCACTGCAGAGAACCCAGAACAGTAGGAATTACCAGTGACGTAAGTGTTCGCTGAAATAAAGTCTCTCATATCAGAAAAAGGTACTTTCCTCTCCTGTCAGTCGTTATACTGCGATATAGCACACACTCTTTAACTGTATATCGCTTCACTATAATAGTGATAATAGTATAATAGTTCGAAAAATAAATCGCGGAGCAAAGAGGACACTGACTGACAGACAAGACAGAGCCGGATACTTTTGATATGAAACAAAGTCTCAGTTTTCAAATTTGGTAATTTTTTTAAGAAATTTAAACAATTTAAAGAAATGTGTGGCTCTTGTGTGGTGACAGATCGCTGTAGCCTCAGTTAAAGCCGCTCGAGAACCGATCATCTCGTCCTTCTAGTTATTTTATAGCATCAAATAAACATACATGAACATCAGAAGGAATGTTGTTTCAACCGCGGAAAAACGTCAGTACACTCCGTTTTTCAAGTTCAAATCCACCGACGTTAATCTACTAACTCTCCTGGCTGCTTTGTCGGAAAAAATGGCGGATTCTGATTGTGCTTATGATTGGTCAGATCGCCTGTCAATCAAACCCTCTGCGAAGGGTGAATTACAATTTCAAGGGAATAATCGACAATTATGATTTTTCTCATAATCGTGCAAGCGCTACAGGATATTATGTGTTTGTGTCCGCACGCGTGTGCGTGTGTGTGTGTGTGTATACGTACCCGCGAGTGGCACAGAAAGCCGGCGTACAGGAGCAGGCCGGCGGGCAGCAGAATCAGACTGAACACCAGGACCATCAGCCCCACACACACCAGCAGCAGCAGAACGTCCCACAGCAGCAGGACCAGCGTCCACAACACACACTCGCATCGGCCCCGTCGAGGCCCCCACACCCCACCGTCACACTGAGCCACAGGAGGAGGAGCGAGCATCCGGACCCCGTCACACACGTCAAAGTCTTCATCACCGCCACCGTCATCTAACAGCACCGCCATACCACACATCCTCAACACACACACACACACACATATGTTAATGTTGAATCTGTAGTTTTGCACACTCTGACTGAATAGTGAAGTCCACACTAACTATAACGATTATAAGTTGGTGTTGAACCCTAAAGTCATTGTTCTTGGTGTGAACGGCCCTTATTCTGCTCTGTCCTGTTGTTGTTGTCATGCTAATAAAGCCTGAAACGACCTAACAGTGGGTTTATTCACACTTCACATAAATCCACTGGTCACACTACAAAACATAGGTTTCAAGTGATGAAATCGGATTTGTTTGTTTAATCAGAATCTAGTATCTAGTGGAGTATACTGATGTGAACGATAATAAAAGAGATCCTTTCCTGAATGATGGGAAAAAACCATCTGACTGTACATCACATACACTTTCACTTATATTAATGTTGTTTTTTGCAGACTACAAATAGCTAAACAGATTTGAGTCAGTCTCAGAAATGTAAAAAAAAAAAAAGTCTGCCCCTCTGAACAAAGACATAAAGGAATAAACACAATGTACTGAGATGTAGAGATGAGTGACAACAGAACAAACTCATTAATAAAGCAGGGCTTGAAGTGATTTTAGGTTCATGGAAATTAAGATATTTTAGAACTGAATGTTTTGTTTTTTACTAATGACACACAATGCAACATAACCCAAACATCTTCAGAAACGTAATTTCCAAGCCTTTACTTGAGGGCGTTGCCTCACTAAACAACATAAAAGTACATTTGATTTAACTGATTTCACTACTGTACTCTATAGCACTAAACATTATATTTCAATAAACAGAGTTCTTTGAGATTTCGTTAGTAAAACCAAAACCTGACGATGTCGTTTACACATGCAACTGTGTGATTGATTGATTGTTTGATTGATTATCTCCAGACTCCAGTCAGTCCGGACACATCACGAACAAAGTTTTAAGAATCAGAGCAGAACTGAACAAACACTTTTCGCGCGCTTTATTTAAGCGTCTTTTTGGCGCGTTCCGAGTTAACGGCATTTCACGGAATCGGTTAAACTGACCGGAATGCGGCCGAGATGCTCATAATATGTATTGAGACACAGAGTGTTTGAACACCGAACATCCTCTGGATCCGTGTCGTCGGAGCGAATATAACAACAGTTTGAGAAAAGAGCTGTAATAACAAAACTCAGAGATTACAGGAAGACGTTTTCAGCGTCTTACCTGATGTAGAGCTGAGGTGATTTTATCCCGTTATACAGAGGATCCAAACATCACACTGAGAGAGAGAGAGAGAGAGAGAGAGAGAGAGAGAGAGAGAGAGAGAGAGAGAGAGAGAGAGAGAGAGAGAGAGAGAGAGACGGGCTGAGTCTGATCGAGGACACGGATGGATAAAAGGTTCAATTTCTTTTTTTAAATAAATGAGTTTCCTCCAAAATACCATAAAGTTACTGTTGACTAGAGTAAAACAATAACAAATTAATGTTATCTCATCAAACTCTATCAGAAGCTTTTTTTTTCTTTTTTTAATGAATTTGTTAAAATAAAAAAAATCATGACAGTGGTGACGTTAATATCAAAATTTACTGTAGTAACTGTGGTACTTTTAAGTAAACCATGTTTACTGTGGTAAAAGTTTGTAAGGATGTCGAAATAACGTTTCTTTATAACGTTCTGCTAATATTTCCATTAAAAACATTGTTTCTTGTTGACAGTTCAAACCATTCAGTTTTTTCTTGGTTATGGTAACGTTACTTGTTGAATGTTCATGAATGTCAAACTAAAACGCACCATGAACGATGTATAAATATTTTTGTGCTAACATTTTGAGAACATTATTAAAGACGTTCTATTAATGTTACTGGAAGAACGTTTGTTCATAACTTTGAGAGAATATTGCCAGAACGTTTCCTGTTAGCTGAGATACATGTCTGATAATAATCATTAATCATTCAGGACTTTAGGATTTAATAAGGGTTTATTTCAGAGGAAACAAAACAAACTCTGGAACACGAGACGAAGACTCCCCGCCTCACAAGAACATGATTATCACTGTGGAAGCTCACGATTTTCTTTGAGTCGTGACTTTCTAAGTTGGCTGTGTTGGAGCTAATGGCTTACAGTGGAAGCTAGTGCTGATCACAAGACATTTTTAGTTTGTAAGCACTCTGTGAAGAAGCTTGACAGAAAATGCAGCGCATATAGCTGGTTTGTTGGCTAGCCAATCTAAAGGCTAATAACAAAAGCAAAAAGGGGGAAATGGGCCAAACAAATATGAATGTCGTCTATATATATTTATATGCAGAGAGCGGATGGAAAAAGACAAAATCAGGTGAAAAGTTCTGTCCAAAAAAGACACACATGCTCACAGCGTCACCTGCTGGCCAACTGAAGCCATGGCGTCAAAATATAATAATAATGTAGAAATGCTGAAATGCTTGTGTGAGGATGATTTAAAAAAAAAAAAAAAAAAAACACAACAAAAGTCAGAGGAAAGTCGTCACCATCTATTGTGTGTGTGTGTGTGTGTGTGTGTGTGTGTGTGTGTTTCTTGGCTTTATAACACACACAAGCTCTTGTTCTTCCTGTAATTTCCTTGTAAATGTGTGTCAGAAAGCGGTTACCATGGCAAACACTGGCCTTTTCATCTGAAAATCACTGTAACTGCATCAATGCAGGACACACATCAATTATTACTCATAAACCACTTACTGTGCGACATTTGACTCGCTCACTGGGGCTTTAAAGGAGGATTTGTTGACATCTGTTGTGAAAAACGGTTCATAAATAAAACAAACCATATATGCTTTTTTTGCGAATGCATAACATTACGCTGCTGTGATGTACACTACCAGTCTAAAGTTCTGGATCGGTGAGATTTTTAATGTTTTTAAAAGAAGTCTCTTCTGCTCACCAAGCCTGCGTTTATTTGACTAAAAATACAAAAAAACAACAACAGTGATATTGTGCAATATTATTCCAGTGTAAATCAGCTGTTTTCTATGTGAATATATAGTAAAGTTTAATTTATTCCTGTGATCAAAGCTGTATTTTCAGCATCATTACTCCAATCTTCAGTGTCACATGATCCTTCAGAAATCACTCTAATATGAGGATCTGATGCTCAAGACACATTTATGATTATTATCAGTGTTGAAAACAGTTATTTACATTTTTATTTCAGGATTCTTTGATGAATAGAAAGTTCAAAAGAACAGCATTTATCTGAAATCGAAGCTTTTGTAACATTAAACACTACCGGTTAACAGTTTGGGGTCAGTAAGAATTCTTATTTTATTTTTGGGGGAAATAAATCAAATAAATCAATACTTTTATTCATCAAGGATGAATTAAACAGAATCAAAAGTGACAGTAACGACATTTATAATGTTACAAAAGATTCATTACGTTACAAGAGTCATTTAAAATTTTCATAATATTTCACAATATTACTGTTTTTACTGTATTTTTAATCAAATAAACACAGCCTTGGTGAGCAGAAGAGACTTCTTTTAAAAACATTAAACATCTCCCCGATCTGAAGCTTTTGAACGGCGGTGTTTAAGAAGAAACATTCACACATGAGGTGATTTCACATTTTATTGTGATTAAACAATTGTACATAAGTGACACACATGTGTTCCTGTAGGCTACATTACGTGTATATATAGATCTGGTGGTGTGTAAATGCGTCAGTAATATAAAGTGGAGTGTGTGTGTGTGTGTGTGTGTGTATTCACAGAGCTGATTGTGCTAAAGTCTGGATTAGTGTCATGATCTCTAGGTGTAAAAGTGCTTTGAACAGAGCGAGAGTCGGGCGTCACCCGCCCTCGGGTGTGTGTGTGTCTGAATGCGCGCGCGTGTGTGTGTCGTCTGACAGCTCTGACGGGTAGATCTGCACTAGCGCCCCCTCCTGGCCGCTGTCTTTACTGCACGACTGGCAGCTGCAGTGCAGGATCCGCTCCACTAGCTTATCCACGCGCGGGGCCTCATCACTGTCGGCGCAGTCCAGGGTCACCTGCACACACACACACACACACACATGCAGTCAGCGTGACCTGATCGGTGAGAGTCGGAGATCTGAGGCGACATGAGGTCATACTGTGACACAATCACAGACTATAAATAAATATGAGCGTAGTGTGTGTGACGTCACCCGTAGTGTTTCTGAAGCCCAGAGTGGGCGGAGCCGGCCGTCGCCATCTTGGCCGCGCGGCACTCCCGGATAAACGAACACATGCAGCGAGGCGGATTAGCTGAGGTGACGCTAACGCTAGCAGACAAACGGCAGCAGTGACATCAGCGGCAATCCACCTGTCACTCAAGTGGCCACGCCCTTAATTATGCAGAACTTTAAGGCTTAATATAATTTAAACGTATGAGTTATAAAAACATCCCCCCTCACAGTCGTCATGAAGGGCAACATTAGCGATATAGAGCAAAACCACTTTTAGCTCCAGACTGTAAACATGTGTTTTTCTGCTGTAAAGTTGGGCATTTTAACATGCGGGTCTATGGGACTGAGTCTCTTCTGCAGCCGGCCTCTAGTGGCCAGTGGAGGAACTGCAGGTTAAGGCACTCAGTGTTGGTTCAGGAGAGAGACGGGCAGGTTCTGCTTGGACACAACGCTTGTGCTGATGCTCCTCATTTGGATAAAAGCCTCTGCTAAATGAATAAATGTAATGCAAATGAAGAGACCAACACGTCTCTTGCACACAGTTAAGAGTCTTTTTATGTTAATACACGGCTAGATAAGAGTGTCAAAACGCATGGCTACTTTTGAGGGTCTGCAACAGAAAAACAGGCTTTTTGCTTCAAGAATGATGTTGTTGTCAATAATTTTATCCTTTAAAGCTCATCTTTGATCACCAAAATGACATATTTAAAAGTTTTTTCCTTGAAAAAAAGTCTTCATGTCTTAAAATATCTTGAATGTAACTCGACACCCGTGCCTCATTTAGTATGCGGGGTTCTATGAATATGCAAATGAGCCCCGCCTCCACTCACTCAGCTCAGAGATCCACTGGTTGACGATCACACGTTGATCTGATTGGTTACAAGGTCGTTTGTGACGTCAGAAACACCAGCGATTTCAAACCGTGTTTTTGAGACTGTCTTTGGTTCACTGCAGTTTTAAGCAGAAAATACTCAGCAATGCTGTCGACTTATGAACTTACACATGGTGTGTCTTAAAGCGTATTAAAAACACCACATAGACACATTAAAAGCTGGATTCTCACCGCAGGGGGACTTTAAATACACTACGCTAACGGGGAACGTTCTTTCTTCCAGTAACACTACTAGAACGTATGTTCAAAGTGATCTGCTGTGTAATAATGTCCTCAAAACATTAGCATAAAAACATTATTTATACAGCGTTCATGGAATGTGTTTTTTAGTTAGATGTTCGTCTAACGTTTTTTTAAATGTTACTTATTGTTTCAAAACGTTTAAAAGTAACGTTCCCATAACGTTTGGAACGTTCAATGGAACGTTCACATAAAACATTTAAAAAACTGGATATTTAGAGCATTCAGAAATAACGTTTTCATAACAAAACGATCTTAGATTATATTTTTATCGGCTCGAAACAAACAGTAAAACTCACTGTCAACCAACAAACTCTCCTGGAAAAAGAAAGAGTGAAATCTGAAATTAATTCATTACATCAGTGTTTGGCTATAAATGAGACCCTGCGTGGCTCTGGTTAGCACACTGTGTAGCGTCAGGCTAACGCTAGTCTACTGTAAGTGAGCGTTCAGGGTCAGATCAGGTTCTGTCACATTACTGCAGGTCTTTGTCAACACGAGCCTCAGTCTGTTTTATTCACCGAACATGAACTGCTCTCTATCAAAACCAGATTGTATAAAAGAACATAATAAGTAGCAGAGGGCGGCCCCTTTGAGTCCGCGGCTAACGCTAACAGAGAACCAGAACATGATGTTAGCACGTAAATATAGCAAAAGCTTTTCAAGTCCAACATTCTTTGTGCATCACAACGTTCAGTTAACGTCAATACAGCGATTCTCAGATCTCCACGGGTGAGAACCAGGGCAAACAAAGACATTATTTTCATATGCTGACATCACACACACACACACACACACACACACACACACACACACACACACACACACACACACACACACACACACACACATACACACACACACTGTGGTCAAACATTCCGTCGTCTGCCAGGCAAAGCTAAATAAACTCCAACACTAGAGGGCAGAACTAAGGCCCACTGCTAAATACTGTAAATACACAAACCCGACACACACACACACACACAGTTAAACAGATCTTATATTTGTAGTAATAGTGTTTAACACACTCAGTTAAAGACGCCGTGTTCTCTGCGCAAGACTGATGAGTGTGTTTGTTGTCTTTCAACACGCCTCATAAAGAGTCTCTCGCGAGTCCATCCATCATTGCGCGGATGTTAAATAGGTATTTGTGGTTTAGTCGCAGCTCTTGTGTTACAGTGCGCCACACGCCACATTCATCACTCCGGCGGACGAGAAGCTAACGGCGTTCACACACACACACCACACGAGCTGCGGGACTTCTGTAGTGTTGCTGCGGTGTGCACTAGAGGATCAGTTAGTCACAATATTTATGAAATTTGGGACAATTTGCAATAGTGAAAATTGGATTATAACTCAATCTAAATTGCAACTACATGATCATATTTGTACTGGAATAGGGAAAAATGCAGAAATGCAATAGTGACCATTTGGATTCAGTATTTCTACAATTGCTACCATTTTCAATATGATTTTTTTCATTTTCACTATTACTACAAATATAAAACCTGTCGTTTTCACTATTACTACAAATATAAGATATATTACTACAAACATAAGATCTGTCGTTTTCACTATTACTACAAACATAAGATCTGTCGTTTTCACTATTACTACAAACATAAGATCTGTCGTTTTCACTATTACTACAAACATAAGATCTGTCGTTTTCACTATTACTACAAACATAAGATCTGTCGTTTTCACTATTACTACAAACATAAGATCTGTCGTTTTCACTATTACTACAAGCATAAGATCTGTCGTTTTCACTATTACTCCAAACATAAGATCTGTCGTTTTCACTATTACTACAAACATAAGATCTGTCGTTTTACTATTACTACAAACATAAGATCTGTCGTTTTCACTATTACTACAAACATAAGATCTGTCGTTTTCACTATTACTCCAAACATAAGATCTGTCGTTTTCACTATTACTACAAACATGAAATCTGTCGTTTTCACCATTACTACAAACATAAGATCTGTCGTTTTCACTATTACTACAAATATAAGATCTGTCGTTTTCACTATTACTACAAATATAAGATCTGTCGTTTTCACTATTACTACAAGCATAAGATCTGTCGTTTTCACTATTACTCCAAACATAAGATCTGTCGTTTTCACTATTACTACAAACATAAGATCTGTCGTTTTACTATTACTACAAACATAAGATCTGTCGTTTTCACTATTACTACAAACATAAGATCTGTCGTTTTCACTATTACTACAAACATAAGATCTGTCGTTTTCACTATTACTACAAACATAAGATCTGTCGTTTTCACTATTACTACAAATATAAGATCTATTACTACAAACATAAGATCTGTCGTTTTCACTATTACTACAAACATAAGATCTGTCGTTTTCACTATTACTACAAACATAAGATCTGTCGTTTTCACTATTACTACAAATATAAGATCTGTCGTTTTCACTATTACTACAAACATAAGATCTGTCGTTTTCACTATTACTACAAACATAAGATCTGTCGTTTTCACTATTACTACAAACATAAGATCTGTCGTTTTCACTATTACTACAAATATAAGATCTATTACTACAAACATAAGATCTGTCGTTTTCACTATTACTACAAACATAAGATCTATTACTACAAACATAAGATCTGTCGTTTTCACTATTACTACAAACATAAGATCTATTACTACAAACATAAGATCTGTCGTTTTCACTATTACTACAAACATAAGATCTGTCGTTTTCACTATTACTACAAACATAAGATCTGTCGTTTTACTATTACTACAAACATAAGATCTGTCGTTTTCACTATTACTACAAATATAAGATCTGTCGTTTTTACTATTACTACAAATATAAGATATATTACTACAAACATAAGATCTGTCGTTTTCACTGTTACTACAAATATAAGATCTGTCGTTTTCACTATTACTACAAACATAAGATCTATTACTACAAACATAAGATCTGTCGTTTTCACTATTACTACAAACATAAGATCTATTACTACAAACATAAGATCTGTCGTTTTCACTATTACTACAAACATAAGATCTGTCGTTTTCACTATTACTACAAACATAAGATCTGTCGTTTTACTATTACTACAAACATAAGATCTGTCGTTTTCACTATTACTACAAATATAAGATCTGTCGTTTTTACTATTACTACAAATATAAGATCTGTCGTTTTCACTATTACTACAAACATAAGATCTGTCGTTTTCACTATTACTACAAATATAAGATCTGTCGTTTTCACTATTACTACAAACATAAGATCTGTCGTTTTCACTATTACTACAAACATGAGATCTGTCGTTTTCACTATTACTACAAACATAAGATCTGTCGTTTTCACTATTACCACAAACATAAGATCTGTCGTTTTCACTATTACTACAAACATAAGATCTGTCGTTTTCACTATTACTACAAACATAAGATCTGTCGTTTTCACTATTACTACAAATATAAGATCTGTCGTTTTCACTATTACCACAAACATGAAATCTGTCGTTTTCACTATTACTACAAACATAAGATCTGTCGTTTTCACTATTACTACAAACATAAGGTCTGTCGTTTTCACTATTACTACAAACATAAGGTCTGTCGTTTTCACTATTACTACAAATATAAGATCTGTCGTTTTCACTATTACTACAAATATAAGATCTGTCGTTTTCACTATTACTACAAACATAAGATCTGTCGTTTTCACTATTACTACAAATATAAGATCTGTCGTTTTCACTATTACTACAAACATAAGATCTGTCGTTTTCACTATTACTACAAACATGAAATCTGTCGTTTTCACTATTACTACAAACATAAGATCTGTCGTTTTCACTATTACTACAAACATGAAATCTGTCGTTTTCACTATTACTACAAACATAAGATCTGTCGTTTTCACTATTACTACAAACATAAGATCTGTCATTTTCACTATTACTACAAACATAAGATCTGTCGTTTTCACTATTACTACAAACATAAGATCTGTCGTTTTCACTATTACTACAAACATGAGATCTGTCGTTTTCACTATTACTACAAACATGAAATCTGTCGTTTTCACTATTACTACAAACATAAGATCTGTCGTTTTCACTATTACTACAAACATAAGATCTGTCGTTTTCACTATTACTACAAACATGACATCTGTCGTTTTCACTATTACTACAAACATAAGATCTGTTGTTTTCACTATTACCACAAACATGACATCTGTCGTTTTCACTATTACTACAAACATAAGATCTGTCGTTTTCACTATTACTACAAACATGAGATCTGTCGTTTTCACTATTACTACAAACATAAGATCTGTCGTTTTCACTATTACTACAAACATGACATCTGTCGTTTTCACTATTACTGCAAACATAAGATCTGTCGTTTTCACTATTACTACAAACATGAGATCTGTCGTTTTCACTATTACTACAAACATAAGATCTGTCGTTTTCACTATTACTACAAACATGAGATCTGTCGTTTTCACTATTACTACAAACATAAGATCTGTCGTTTTCACTATTACTACAAACATAAGATCTGTCGTTTTCACTATTACTACAAACATAAGATCTGTCGTTTTCACTATTACTACAAACATAAGATCTGTCGTTTTCACTATTACCACAAACATGAAATCTGTCGTTTTCACTATTACCACAAACATAAGATCTGTCGTTTTCACTATTACTACAAACATAAGATCTGTCGTTTTCACTATTACTACAAATATAAGATCTGTCGTTTTCACTATTACTACAAACATAAGATCTGTCCTTTTCACTATTACTACAAACATGAAATCTGTCGTTTTCACTATTACTACAAACATAAGATCTGTCGTTTTCACTATTACTACAAACATGACATCTGTCGTTTTCACTATTACTACAAACATAAGATCTGTCGTTTTCACTATTACTACAAACATGAAATCTGTCTTTTTCACTATTACTACAAATATAAGATCTGTCGTTTTCACTATTACTACAAACATAAGATCTGTCGTTTTCACTATTACTACAAACATGACATCTGTCGTTTTCACTATTACTACAAACATAAGATCTGTCGTTTTCACTATTACTACAAACATGAAATCTGTCGTTTTCACTATTACTACAAACATAAGATCTGTCGTTTTCACTATTACTACAAACATAAAATCTGTCGTTTTCACTATTACTACAAACATAAGATCTGTCGTTTTCACTATTACCACAAACATGAAATCTGTCGTTTTCACTATTACTACAAACATGAAATCTGTCGTTTTCACTATTACTACAAATATAAGATCTGTCGTTTTCACTATTACTACAAACATAAGATCTGTCGTTTTCACTATTACTACAAACATAAGATCTGTCGTTTTCACTATTACTACAAACATAAGATCTGTCGTTTTCACTATTACTACAAATATAAGATCTGTCATTTTCACTATTACTACAAACATAAGATCTGTCGTTTTCACTATTACTACAAACATAAGATCTGTCGTTTTCACTATTACTACAAACATAAGATCTACAAACATAAGATCTGTCGTTTTCACTATTACTACAAATATAAGATCTGTCATTTTCACTATTACTACAAACATAAGATCTGTTGTTTTCACTATTACTACAAACATAAGATCTGTCGTTTTCACTATTACTACAAACATTAAATCTGTCGTTTTCACTATTACTACAAACATAAGATCTGTCGTTTTCACTATTACTACAAACATAAGATCTGTCGTTTTCACTATTACTACAAACATGAAATCTGTCGTTTTCACTATTACTACAAACATAAGATCTGTCGTTTTCACTATTACTACAAACATAAGATCTGTCGTTTTCACTATTACTACAAACATAAGATCTGTCGTTTTCACTATTACTACAAATATAAGATCTGTCGTTTTCACTATTACTACAAATATAAGATCTGTCGTTTTCACTATTACTACAAACATAAGATCTGTCGTTTTCACTATTACTACAAACATAAGATCTGTCGTTTTCACTATTACTACAAACATAAGATCTGTCGTTTTCACTATTACTACAAATATAAGATCTGTCGTTTTCACTATTACTACAAACATGAAATCTGTCGTTTTCACTATTACTACAAACATAAGATCTGTCGTTTTCACTATTACTACAAACATAAGATCTGTCGTTTTCACTATTACTACAAACATAAGATCTGCCGTTTTCACTATTACTACAAACATAAGATCTGTCGTTTTCACTATTACTACAAACATAAGATCTGTCGTTTCCACTATTACTACAAACATAAGATCTGTCGTTTTCACTATTACTACAAATATAAGATCTGTCGTTTTCACTATTACTACAAACATAAGATCTGTCGTTTTCACTATTACTACAAACATAAGATCTGTCGTTTTCACTATTACTACAAACATAAGATCTGTCGTTTTCACTATTACTACAAACATAAGATCTGTCGTTTTCACTATTACTACAAATATAAGATCTGTCGTTTTCACTATTACTACAAACATAAGATCTGTCGTTTTCACTATTACTACAAATATGAGATCTGTCGTTTTCACTATTACTACAAACATGAAATCTGTCGTTTTCACTATTACCACAAACATGAAATCTGTCGTTTTCACTATTACCACAAACATAAGATCTGTCGTTTTCACTATTACTACAAACATAAGATCTGTCGTTTTCACTATTACTACAAGCATAAGATCTGTCGTTTTCACTATTACTACAAGCATAAGATCTGTCGTTTTCACTATTACTACAAACATAAGATCTGTCGTTTTCACTATTACTACAAATATAAGCTCTGTCGTTTTCACTATTACTAAAAACATAAGATCTGTCGTTTTCACTATTACTACAAACATAAGATCTGTCGTTTTCACTATTACTACAAACATAAGATCTGTCGTTTTCACTATTACTACAAACATAAGATCTGTCGTTTTCACTATTACTACAAACATAAGATCTGTCGTTTTCACTATTACTACAAACATGAAATCTGTCGTTTTCACTATTACTACAAACATAAGATCTGTCGTTTTCACTATTACTACAAACATGAGATCTGTCGTTTTCACTATTACTACAAACATAAGATCTGTCGTTTTCACTATTACTACAAACATAAGATCTGTCGTTTTCACTATTACTACAAACATAAGATCTGTCGTTTTCACTATCACTACAAACATAAGATCTGTCGTTTTCACTATTACTACAAACATAAGATCTGTCGTTTTCACTATTATAAGATCTGTCGTTTTCACTATTACTACAAACATAAGATCTGTCGTTTTCACTATTACTACAAACATGAAATCTGTCGTTTTCACTATTACTACAAACATAAGATCTGTCGTTTTCACTATTACTACAAACATGAGATCTGTCGTTTTCACTATTACTACAAACATAAGATCTGTCGTTTTCACTATTACTACAAACATAAGATCTGTCGTTTTCACTATTACTACAAACATAAGATCTGTCGTTTTCACTATCACTACAAACATAAGATCTGTCGTTTTCACTATTACTACAAACATAAGATCTGTCGTTTTCACTATTACTACAAACATAAGATCTGTCGTTTTCACTATTACTACAAACATAAGATCTGTCGTTTTCACTATTACTACAAACATAAGATCTGTCGTTTTCACTATTACTACAAACATAAGATCTGTCGTTTTCACTATTACTACAAACATAAGATCTGTCGTTTTCACTATTACTACAAACATGAAATCTGTCGTTTTCACTATTACTACAAACATAAGATCTGTCGTTTTCACTATTACTACAAACATAAGATCTGTCGTTTTCACTATTACTACAAACATAAGATCTGTCGTTTTCACTATTACTCCAAACATAAGATC